CTCGAAAATAAATAAATAAATAAATAGATGATTAAAATAAAAAGTTGCACATGTGTGGTAGTGCACACTTACAATCTCAGCACCATGGAAGCAAAAACAGCAGAATCCCTAGAGCCTGCTTGCCAGCATAGCTAGCTAGCTAAATGGCAACCACTAAGGCTCAGTGAGACTCGGCCTCAATAAACAGGATGTGGAAAGCATAATTTTTGTTTGTGTGTTTGAGTACATGCATACCACAGTCTACAGCTTTCAGAAGTCAGTTCTCTCTACCATTCTCTCTCTGAATACCAGAGACTGAAGTCGGGTATCTGTACCCACTGACTTACTTTTCCAGTCTTAACACTCAAAACTCAAAACTTCAATCAAGTTACACTGCTAAAGAAAGTAGGGCAGGATCTGGTGGTGCACACCTGTAATGCAATGTAGCACTAGAGAGTGAGACCTTGTCTTGAAAAATAGGAAGGAAAAAGGAAGGTGGGAGATAATTCTGATGAACATGTACTCACTCCATAAGTGGATACTAGCTGTAAAGCAAAGGATAACGAGCCTATACCACGACCCTAGAGAAGCTACATGGTAAACCCTAAGAGAAACATATATAGATAGATCCCCCTGGGAAGGGGCAATAGACAAGATGTCCTGACAAAATTGGGAGCATGGGAATAGGGGGAGAACTTGAGGGAACAGGATAGTCAAGATGGGAGAAGGGCAGAGACCAAGAGCAAGGATAGAGATATTTTGATTGAGGGAACCATTATGGGGCTAGAGCGATAATTTTTGAGTATCATGTATCTGAGAACTGACTCTAGAATATTGCCTCACAGCTGATAGGATGCCTATAATTATTTCAAAGAATGTTTGGTAGGTAATAGTTGGCAAAGATGTAAAGAAATCAAAACCTAGCTGCTAAAGGAATAGAAAAGGAAATCCTCGACCAGTAAAGTTTGGTAGCTCCTCCAGTGGCTAACAATGCAATCACATGACTTGGCAGTTTTCCTGAGGTGTATAACCAAGAGAAATGAAATTAGATGTTCACACGAAATACATACAAGAAGCAGGAGAGATGATGGCTCAGTGGTTAAGTGTAGTGCTCTTTTAGAGGACCCAGTTGGCTCCTAGCAGTCTTATCAGATGGCTTAAAACTACCTGTAACTCCAGCCTCCACAGGTACCCACATACATACATATGAGTAAACACATACACATCATTTGAACTAAATAAGCTCCTTTAATACCAGCACCTGTGGGGCAAAGGCAGGCTGATCTCTGAGTTCAAGGCCAACCTGGTGTATATAATGATTAGTTCCAGGCCAGACAGAGCTACAGTATGAAACCCTGTTTCTAAATAATAATGATAGAGCCAGACATGGAAGACCTTTAATCACTCTATAAGCATAGACAAATGGATCTCTCTGAGTATGAGGCCATCATGATCTACATCGTGAATTCCAGGGCAGCCAGGACTATATAGACTCTGAAGAAAAAAAAAAAGTAATGGTAATGTTTAGACCATGAATGTGCTCCTAGTATTATTTCCAGTAGACCAATGGTAAAAACAAACCATGTAGCTATCTGTTGGTTAACTGGCTATTTAAGGTAGTGGGTAGGCCTTGAAAATATATTTAAATAAAAGCCTGTCATAAAAAAAAAGCTCATACTTTAGGGTTCTACTTGTCCAAAATGTCCAGAACAGGAAATTGGTAACAGAAAATATGTTAGTGTTTATCTAATTCTGTGCTGGGAACAATACCTAAAGGCACAGAGTTTTACAGAGTAATGAAAACATTTGGGAACTAGAAAATGGTATAGTTGTACCACCTTGGGCATATATTAAAATTCTAGTTGTTCTAGTTGTTTTAATATGCTCTATTTGTGCATTTTGATGAATTATGTTTTTTTTAATCATTCGGTTGTTCAGGCATAATCTTTTGAAGTCAAGATGAACTGACATCTGTGGATGCCCAAACTGTCCACAGGATTCCCAAATTGCTCTTGGCTCCCATGGAAACACAGTACAGGGGAGGTGATGTTGTCACTCTTCTGTAGTGTTGAGCCAGTATGGCTGCAGCATAGCACAGGCAGCCTTACAAAACTCTGTTAAAATATAGCTCGTCTGCACTCCAGTCAGCCAGTGCCTTAGTACCCTGGGTGTGAAATGGCTGGATGGCCAGCACCCCACCCTGTCTCTATCATAAACACCAGGGTTTTGCTTTGTTTTTCCATGCAAATTCCACCATATGGCACCCAGCTGAGTAAACACAGACTCAGCATTCCTCAGTGGCACTCAGGCTTAGCACTCCTGAAGAGCTTGGGGCCCTGGAGTGGAAGCACAAGAGCCAGCTGGTTAGTATGCATGAGGCCCCTCTAATAGCCACCTCCATAACTCAATATAGCAGAGCTTCTGGTGACATGCAAAACACACCTATGCACTAGACAGAGCATGTCCAAGATTGTCCTTGCAGAGCCTGGCCAGGTGTTTCCCATGTCTGGGCCTTGGCTTTATTGATGGAAAAAATGTGTTGCTTCCAGATCGAGTGGATGGTTTCTGATGAACATTTTTATTGTCTTACTGGTTTTCATGGAACACACTCTAAGATACCATGTGGACATCCCTGCCTTTTCAGACCATAATTAACTCCTCCCTGCCTACTTGGTCCTTCCTTATCAAAGTCAAATACAGTGAATCTCAAGTTTCCTGTCACTCTTAAAACTAGCTGATTGCAGTTGGGAGGTGGCAGTGCATACCTTTAATCCCTGTGCACTCAGAAGAGGCAGAGCCAGGTAGATTTCAAGTTTGAGGCCAGCCTGGTCTACAAAGTGAGTTCCAGGACAGCCAGGGCTACACAGAGAAACCATGTCTGGACAATAATAAAAACAAAAAATAGCTGGTCTCCATCTTCAGGATCATTTTACATAGTTTGATTAATTATCACAGCTCTTGTGCCTTCCCCTCAAAGTCTCCTATGCCTTTGTCATTAAGAATGGCACTTCTGGAGCTGGAGAGATGACTCAAAGGGTAAAAGCACTGGCCACGCTTCCAAGGGACCCAGATTCAATTCCCCGCACCCACATAGCAGCTCCCAACTGTCTATAACTCCAATTCTAGGGGATCCGGCACCTCACACAGACCAATTGTTAAGCTGGTAAAACACCAATTTACATAAAATAAAAGTAAATTATTTAAGGGGAAAAAAAGAATGGCATTTGTATTAGTAATTGTAATGAGGTTGCTGTTCTTGGGGTCTACTCAGGCTGTCAGCTTTTAATTCCTTCCTACTCTTCACTTTGTTCTAGAGTTGATCAGGCAAGGAATAAAGCTGGCTAAATGCAGCAACCTTAACTTACATGGAAGAAGCTTTGCAGTCCCAGCTTTCCAAAAACACATTTGAATGCTTGCCCTCTACCCGATGTCAGTATTGTTGTCTACATTATAAAAGCTAAGAGTATACTTTTTAGTGAAAGCATCTAATTTGAGTCTTCCTTTTACTCATGTGGCAGAAGGGCCTACAGAATGGAGATCAGCTCCCTCCGGCTTGGAGGCCAAGCCTCAGGCCCCACCTTGGAGCCAGCCCAAGCCCCAGTTCTCCCTTGAGCCTCATGTGCTGCTGCCAAGCACAGTCTGGAAGCTAAACTGCCACGTTCACACACAGCTCCTTTACGTTCCTCAAACAGTTGTTATTAATTTAGAAGAGACTGAGGTTTAAACATCAACCAACACTTTCCACGGAAATCACTTAGGTATACATTTTTCTCCTAAAAACTTGTCTTGCTGAAATTAGTAATTATCTGTAAAGTACACCAGTCCACCCCTGCTTTGGTGTCTAGATATGTTCTCTGTTGGTGGCTGCATGCATAGATGCTGGGGGCCTTGGCTTTCCATGCCAGAAGTGGCTTACCCAGAAGTAGTCTTCTCTTAAGGTTTCATGGGGACAAAGATGTATTACAACCCTTATTTGATGGACCCAGACTGCTTTAACCCAGCCAGTCTCTACAGTCCTAGAAGGATCTGCCCCAAGTCCCAGCCCTAGCCTATGGTGACAGTGGCTCTCTGGCTGCCCCGAGAACAGCTGCACCTTACAGTCCTTGCTTGACTTAGGTATCACCTGGGAAGCATCTCTTTTTCAGGCACTGAGAGGATACATGGAAGGGCCTTTCAAAGGTAGTCTTAAAACCTAAAATCTCATGATGAGGGCAACTTCGAGTTTGTTTTTCATCCTCTAACCCTATAGTCTCTTTTCACAAGTGCAGACAAAAAGAGCCACTGCTATGTACATCAGTTATATCTGTCTTTCATTCAAATACCTGGAAAACAAACTTTGTTGTCATGGTGATATAAATGAGTATATCAGTTCTAATATGCAAGAGCCTCCTAGGTTTTGCTGTGGAAAACTAGCGTGCACACATGTCCAGAGCAGTCATACTATCTGAGGAAATCATACCTACCTAGAAATTTATGACATTCAACCCATTCCTGTTCTCTATAGACATAAACACTGCAACCAGGGAGCCTGATACCTCCACTACAGTATGGGCAGCTGGGTGGGGCCTGGCTCATGTTAAGGATTCAAGCAGAAGCTTAGCTGGGTGATTTGTGAGGATGGACAGGCTTGGTGCATCTGCTGAAGCAGGATAGCAACCAGTACCCACATGAGCCTCAACTCAAAAGGCTTTGCTGACACAGAGTAAGTCTCCATTGTACTCCCTTTAGACACTTGCTTGAGGGCTATAGTGCTCATCCAAGTCTTGAGGCAAGGAGTCATCCCAAGTGGTAGGCAGGCGGAAATAGAATGAAATTGAAAATGAAGCTGTACCGTGATATTGTGAGATCTCAGGAAAGGGATAGCCATGAGCTCCTGGGATGGCAGAATAGTAAGGACAGAAGTGGGCACCAGCGAATAGCACATATAACACTTTCATCTCAGGCTTCGGAATGTTTCTCCTGGCTTTCGGGATGCTATTTCTTCTAGATGGATCAAACTAACAATTTATTTTCACATGCAGGAGAAGTATCCAGATAGTGTGTACCTCTCAGAGGGCACCTGTTCCCACTGCATGGAGATCCACAGTGCCAGCCAGCCAGGGTAAGTCTGTGCAGCAGGAGGTTCTGGGACCAGGACTGTTCATAGGAGAGGCTAAGAAATTACCTAAGGAAGACTAAAGAGTATCCCATGGATAAATGGGTGGAATCACAGCAGATACCCAATAGTGGGCAGATGGACTGCTGAGTAGCCATGAAGGTAGGAAGGAGTGCAAGACTGGAGGAGCTAAATGCTGGCCTTGGGGCAGCAGGAGGCATTTCTCCTCAGGGCCTTTGTATAGCCAAGAAGGTAGAGGTAGGTGTGTGTGTGTGTGTCTGCTGCTATGACAGAGGCAGAAGCAGGAAGCCAGAGGTCACCAGAGCCTCAGAGAAGCCAAAATAAACAGGTGCAGTTCTACACTGGGCACCTAAGAATCTTGCAGCACTTGCCCACGGCCACTGTCACTCCTTCTTTCTTTCTCCTGCCTTTGTGCTTACAAATGTGCCTGTGTGTTCTTCAGGACCTAGATCCTTACACAGGCTGCTGGAGCTGGCCTTTGTCATGTGGTTGTAGCTCACTTCTCATGCCTCATCCTCTAGTGGAGTTCTGACTGTATTCCTCGGGTCCTGAGGGTTTGGGCTTTTCATTTCTGTTTCTCCTGCCATATGGCACATGGGCAGCTCCTAGAATAAGAAAATTCCAACCATGAAGAAAGTGTGTGCAGATTCTAACCATTTCAGATCATTTCCCAGGAACAACCTGTTGCTTGTCCCATTACTTATCACATTGGTGTTTGCCATGGTGTGGGTACAAAGTGTCTTGCTGTGGCCCAAGTTTCCAAATTGTCCTACAGAACTATAACACGCTTTCCTCTGTGGAGAGAAGTCTTTAGGAGAAGGTGATCCTGGCCGGCAGAAACCACATGCTCAGAGGCTAATCTTTCCAAATTCCAAAAGCACCAAATGTTGCCTTTTTCCAGGTTTGAACTGGTGATTGTTTGGAAGATACAAATAGATGAGGAAGGGAAGGTTTTTCCGAAGCTGGATCTCCTCACCAAAGTTCCAGAGCAAGGTAGGACTCCATGTGTACAGACACCCTTTCTGGAAGGCTTCTCAGTATACCCAGCAAAGCCATCTGAGTGTCTTATCTTGGTTTAAATGGGAAGAATCAAAAGTTGAAACTGTCACTAATGTACTTTGTAGTTCACCTTTTGATATACTTCAGTCAGTAACCACCAAACAGTACATGAGAGGACTACTGTCCTGAGGCCTTGCAGATGTGTGGAACAAGTCATTTTCTCTGCCTCAAGTTACTTGTGACAGCAGTCTCTGGTCTTCTCCACCCTGTCTCTAGTGCATCCCACTGTGTGGCTATTGGGAGAAAAGATCTTATTAGACAGGCACTATAAGGTTTCTTATCAGGTGTGTTTTCTTCACAGCCCTAGAGCTGGACAAGAAAAGAATCATAGAAGCTGCTCCTCTGAGTTTCCGAAGCCTACTAGAAGTACTTGGAATTGAAGCTGCTCTTGACAGTCTGATAAAATTGCTTTGTGTAGAAAATGACTAGTTCCCTGCTGGCAAGCATATAGGAATAAGATACTCAGCTGAGGAACATGTGATCTATGTTAAGTATGAACATTTGCTCTTTTTCCAATGAGAAACCACATCCTTCAAACATGCTTTTGTGTGCACTAGTTGTACATTTCACAGAACTCTCATGGCATAGAAATAAAGCTTTTCAGATATGTTAAAAGCAACATGCATAGTGCTTTGAACAAGTAAGTTTAACATTTGAGAAAATGTTCCAAAAATGGCTGTCCATTCTCAAACGAGTGTAGAATAGCTATGCCTCCAACCTCACATCAAGATGGCCCAAGGCAGCCTGGGAAACGGTCCAGTCCACAGCCACCCACCTTGTCTGCATAGCAACATCTCCCAGAAGTCCTGACGCTCCTCCTGGTTCCTAGAAAAGTAGGACTGTTTGACAGTGATGACTGCATTGTTCCTTTCACTGGGAACTTCACTGAAGACACACCTGCAGTCTGAGTATGGTACAGGACTATAACACCATCACACAACAGCAACCCAAATTTAAAGCCAGCCCTGGCTACATAGTGAGCCACTGTCTGGGAAAACAAAGGCTAAAGTATACGTCTATAGTAGAACAGTTGCCTAACATGGAAAGGCCCTAGCTCCAGGCCCTAGCACCACAAAACTATCCAGTCTAAGGCTGTATCATCTCAGACACAGAGCTAACATTTGGTGAGTGCCTTCATTATCTGTTGTTATGCTGCCAACATGATGGGTTAGTGTGGGCATCCTGAACTAAGCAGAGCACATCAGAACATGATTGGACAGGGCAATGGTGGCACATGCTTTTAATCTAAACAGAAAGAAAAAAGAAGGCAGAGTCGAAGAGCTGCCAGGAGCCGCTATGAAGTAACAAGCCATGAGTCTCATGGTAAAATATAAACTAATAGAAATAGGTAATTTAAGCCAGGCAGTGGTGACGCACACCTTTAATCCCAGCACTCAGGAGGCAGAGGCAGGCGTATCTCCGTGAATTCTATTCGAGGTCAGCCTGGTCTACAAGAGTTAGTTCCAGGACATGCTCACAAAGAAACCCTGTCTTGAAAAACCAAAAAAAATAAATAAATAAAAATAAAAAAACGGGGGGGGGGATAAATAAATAAGCAAGTAAAAAAGAACATGGTTGAGTCCTGCCCACATTGGCAAGGTGCTCCATCCGTGTTCTTTACCCCCAGGAGAGGTTGTTTGTTTCTATCCACCTATCTATATTGTTTAGCCTCTTGCTAAATAGTAATTCTCCAAGAGAGACTAGTGTTTCAGCAGTAAAAGTTTCGTGCCCTGAGAGCCTGGGACCCACCAATTCCTGAGATCAGTACTGTGGTATCAGACATAACACCTCCACCACACACATGCGCACACACACATGGCTTGTCTACCTCCAAACCAGTCAACATTGAGTCAAAACAAAACTGAAGGCTGCTTTCCCCCGCACATCTAGAGCCATGAGAACACGACCTTCAAGCACATGACTCCAGTGAAGGCAATAAGCACATATCCCAGCATACACCAGTCAAAAGAAAGTCAAGGATCCAAAAGTACAAGTTTCTTTACCTGAGTGTTCAATAATTAGAATATTAGGACAGAATTTAATAAATTCTATAGGAGGTTGCTTGATCAAACAAGTATAATTCTCAAATTATCACAAAATTTCCCACAAAAATTTACAATCAGCAAAATATTTTCTTCATTTTTCATGTAGCATTTTCATACAGTTCCATTGTTTCTACTACTATGTTACAATAAGCCTTCATTTGTCTCTCAAAAGGATGATATAAATAATCAGTCTGTACAGCCTACCATAGGATAAAAAAAAATGAAGCCAAAACCCCCAATGATTTCATAGCAGCCAGGCACACTTTTGGTGACCCTAATAAGAATCCTCAGTGCCAGCCAGGAGCCTTCTATAGCCCTGATGAAAACAGCAAGGCCCTAGACACACATACCCAACATGCCCCAGAGTTAACCCCAGGGATGAATGTGGCTTAGGAGGAAGGGAACCTTGTTCCTCAACCACCCAAGACACCAGAGTGCCAGGAGAACTGCAGGCTGTCAGGCACACCCACCCAGCCAACCACAGCAGCTCTGAGTTACAGCTCTGCTTCCAGCCTCTACAGCAGCAATTTCAGGTAGGAAAGAACGCCTCAGCTCCCCTTAGAGTTAAAATCATAATGAAGAATTTAAAAACAACAACAAAAAAGCAATGCTCATGCGAGTGGTGTCCATCCTGACCTGAGTCTTATGTTCCCTGCTGCTGCCCCTTTACAAAGCCATGGGCTTCAGTACCTCCACAGGGACCTGAGTCTAAACCACTCAGAACCAATGTCCACACTAACCCCTGACCGCTCTGCAGCAGGGAACCACCCAATGTCTGTGTTCATGTGTGACTTGCATTGAAAATGTTACCAGTTAACAGCTGGGAAAGTTCCAGTAGTATCCATGTTTTCTTGAAAATCCAAACGGTAAAATACTCGTGACAATTCAAGTTTTTTATGTCAAGAGTCTGGTGGTAGGAGATCCAAACCTTGGGTCTTAATAATAAGGCTTTTTGCATTAGAGAATTAGACGTGAGCTCTGCTTGGAAGAACTATCCAGGATGTTTTCCTGGGGTTTAACGGACACTTCCACGCTAAGAAAACAGATGGCTTGCTGGGACACAGCACTCACGTCCTACATTCCTTGTCCTAGAAGACTCTAGTGCTCTTCAATTCCTTGTCTTTGAGAGGCAGTCTAACCTCAGCAGGGGTTAAAAGCAAAAACATTCACAGCCAAGTCACCCAACACAACCAAAAATAGCTCTGTCATTCAACTTTCACATTCAAGTTTCAAAGACACCGCAGGGGAAAAAGTTAGACCTTGTGGAGAACTAATGTGCAATCTTCATGTTCCTTGAACCGAGTCGACCTCACAGTGTCATCTTTGGCATGCACAGTCTTTGAGTAATAGTTGACGATCTTGCTGTCCAGTTTATACTGGTGAGGAATGCTCTCATAGGGCTTGAGGTCGAGGTCCAGTACAGACACAGAAAAGGCCAGCCGGGACCTTGATGAAGGGATAACAGGCCTCTGGTCAGAGCTGCAAGTAACAAGAGAATTTCAGATTACATAGACCCTCAAGCCCTCCCAGCCCAGCTTTCAGAGCACCCATTCTGTGTCTGTGTGCATCTACTGTCTGGGCAGCTTCAAACACTAGCACAGGTAAGTGACTGCAGGCACAGGTCACAACACTATGTCTGGGAAGAAGGCTTAAAAGAACCGAGGTGGAAAAGCCATTATGTGGAATGCGTGAGTGATATTCCCCATGTTCCAGTGGTATTAACGAATGCTGGAAAAGTCACTTTATTGTGAGCCAAGTATTACAAAACCTAAGAAAAAGTAAAAAGTAGATCAGGCTGTGCAGCAGCCAGCTGGATGGCTGCTGAGAACAGACTCTCTTTATGTGCTTTCCCGTTGCTGCTGAGAACCAGTTCCTTCGTGCCTTTCACATTTGGAGAGCAAGCGGGTCTGTGTTAACTCTCAAGTCACATCTTCAATGCTTTTTGTTTCTCAGGGCCTTTGTAGATTTTATAAACATCAGGAAGTCATGTGCTCTTAACAGTATGAGCACTGACTTGAAAACCTTTTCAGAATAACTTTAAACCTGACTGAGGTTACAGTGTATCCAGCTGTCTGGAAACACAGTGCATAGCATTCATACTCTTGCCTGAATAGCATCTAATCCCAGGCTGGCACAAAAGAACTGCTGGGGAGTTCTGGTTCCTCTATGCTCACTACTCTTGTACACTTAGAAATCATTAAAAACAAGACAGACAAAATAAGCTTCAAAACTCCTGAGTTGGAAGAACAAACACTGAGATACATGGGTCTGTTCTAAAGTACACTAAAGCCTTGATCCTCATTTGTTGCTCCAGAATCCTGTTTATAGAGAAAAAAAAATGAATTTGGCTCGATCACAGGTCTGACAACTGACCACAAGCTCCAGAACAGTCAAGGACACAGGCCAGTGTACACTAGCCGCTTAACACTGAGAAGTTTGTCTCCTTCAGAGTGTATAGCTAAAACTCAGCAAAAGCCAGGGCAGTCATCCCTACCCTACTGCCATGACCACATCCCTATCCCTGCAGTAGCCCTGGAAACTGGTACTGGAATGACCTGGGGCTGGAGCTGCTGTCTTCACCTTGATAGCTGTTCTCCAAGACACTAACCAGATTCGAGGGAGGCCAGGAGATACACAGTTAAGCCAAAGCGCATGTTTGTAATAGACATGGCAGGGTTTAGGGACAAGTAGCAATGAGAACTTCCCTGGTAGTTCCAAACTCTTCAAAAGCCTGGAGCAACAGGAAGGCAATAGCAATAGAAACAAATAGCAACACAGAGGCTTGTGGGCTATACATTAAAATTCAGGGACATAAATTCAGCCTTGAGTTTACTATGCATCTTAGGATGAACTCAGTCCTCATTTATCTCTGGTTTTCCTGAATGTTATTTCCTGGAGCTAGGTACAATTCTGGGGAGCACAGCACCACCTTCCTCAAAGAAGGTTGATGCCTGTGTATATTCTCCAAAGTAAAATTGGGGGTGGAGAACATCTAGTCTCAAACTCTCCTCTGCAGCTCCTTCCACAGGCAGACAAGCATAGTAGTAGGGGTACCTTGGAGTGTCCTGTTGCCATCCCCTAGCTCCTTTGCTCCTGCTTCAAAGTGGATCTGGACCACCAACTTTGAGCCTACTGATACATGGACCCTATTGTCTGACCTTGAGACCTGGCCTTAGCAGGTAAGGCAGCCTGCAAGGGCAGGGCCCATTCTTCCTCTTCAGAATCCTCTGCAAAAACAAGTCAGAATTTCCCAGTCTACATCTCTCTTCAAATTGGTCACCAAATTCTCAGTTTTCACAAAATAGGTATGAGGAGGCATAATGCCAAATGGCAAAGCTTTTCAAACTTTCAAAAACTCTAAACATTTCACATTTTAAAATTAAATAAGCTTGAATCAGTGTTCATGAAACACTTAAGAATAGAAATGATTTTTTTACCTAATTTTCTTTTTTCATCTTGGACTTTAAACTGAATTCATTTTGTCAGTGTATTTGTTGTGACATGAGATAAACTAACAATGGGCTCAGGATGAGATGCTATGAGATCAAATATTAATACAAAATTATATCA